AATGAAATTTAACCAATGATACGTTAAAATTTAAAAGTGATGGAGTGAGCCCGGTTTAAAATTTTGCGTAAGTGAGTTGCGAACCTTAACATGGCACAAGAAGGTATTTCGGCTCTTATCAGTGTAGGCGATATAAAGTTGGTGGTGCGGGTGTCACAACATAGACCGTTCCTTTGGGGCAGACCGTGATGTCACGACTTGGGTATGTAACCCTGGTGCGTGGGCATCATTGGTAGTTACAGTAAGTAACATTTGAATATTTGACCAAAGGGGAGTCAGAATTGCCCGTGGCCATTGCTTAGTGGTTGACTGGAAATAGTGTTTCGCGGGGAGTTACTTAAATTTATCTGATAAATTAAATCTATGAAAATTTAAAAAGAAAGGTGGACATATTCCTTATGATGAAATACTGCTTCCATTTGTTATATATATATATATATATATTTATTTATTTGATTTATTATTATCTATTGTTGTTATTTCAACTGATAACATTCCTTTTATACTTACTAAATGTTACTTGTTATTCTGTTACTACACATTAATCATAAATTGTGAGTATTATTATCGGAGTGGGTATTTTTGGGTTATAGCATCTTATTGAGCTCGTTGCACACTGGCATTCCCGTTGCCCTGGCGTTTTATGCCAGGTACCGAAGAAATCGAAGGAAACACCGAGGCCTTGCAAGGCAACGCTCAACCTTGGTTAGCTTGAAGAGTGCCAAGTTCCACGAACTATTTTCTAAAATTTCTAGTTTTTCTCTAGTTTTCTTTTTATATTTGTGTCATTTCTTTTATGTACTAAGACTAAGTTGTAATGTAAGAACTTTATATTCTAGGTTGTTAATTAATGGATGTTAGTAATATTGGTGGCAATATTGATTTTAAATTCTAAATCTTATTATGATGTCCTTAAAATTTTGGGGTGTTACATCAGCAGTAGGGAATTTGTATCATCAGTAGTAAACTATAACACCAAAAAAGTAAAAGGAGGGGAAAAGGGTGTGAACCGTGAAGATTCGAATAATTATCCAATCCACTTTTAAAAAGGGATAAGTGAGGAGGGTCATTCTACTATTTAAAAAAAAAAAAAAAACAAAGGAAAAAAAAGAGGGGAATTCTTGAGGGAAAGTAGGGGTAATGGCAACATTATTGTCTTTTTAATTAAAATAGCGCGAAACCAACAATTGATGTACATTAGGGACCAATTCTGCAATTTAGATTTGTGTAATTTTGACGGGTGCAGTTACGTAGGTTACCTTTGGCCATGTGGGTTGGGTTGGGATTAAATAGAATTTAATAAGAAAAATGTCATATTTAAATAATAATTATTTTAATTTTTTTATAAAAATTAAAAAAGTTAATTTAAACGAATATTTTAATTCTAAGTTAAAGAAGTCTCAATTGCAAAAACCAACTAAAAATGTTTTGCTAAACGGAATCTTTCTCTTGTTTTTCATTAGTTTTAGGTAGGAGTGAGTATGGTTCAGATTGATTCGATTTCAAAGTAAATGAAGATTGAATCATTATTTACAATTCTATAAAATTTGAAATCAAACTAAATCATGAAAATCTTATAATCAAATCAAACTAAACCACATAAACATGGTTCGGTTTGAAACTACGGTTTTTAAGAAACACTATCGTCATTTACAAAAGGAAAAGACTATGATACATATTCCTCAAATGGGGTGTAACGTGTGCACTTTATAACTAAAAACAAAATAGTATAATTTTTTACTTTCTGGGTCATAACTAAAAAAAAAAAAAAATCCTAACCAAACAACACATGAGGTATAACCAAAAATATCATGAGTCATAATTAAAACAAAGTTATAACTAAATAATAAAATGACATAACTTAAAGGTACATATCACAAAGATGTGTATAGTAGAATTTCCCTTCACAAAATCACAAAATATTATTCACAACCTAAAAATTATTTAGATGAATGTTTGAAATTAGTTCTACCATTACACAATAACATACTTGAAAAAATAAAGAGATGTAACTTATGTGTATATATTTAGGGGTTGTTTGGGTAGAACAACAACGGTGCACTTTTTCATTTTTTTGGGCCATATCATCTTTTTATTTTTCTGTACACCTTTTAGTAAAAATTCAAAAATTACACATATTCTGATCATTCTAAACAACCCCTAATAAGATATTCGAGTGTTTATAGTAGTTAACAAATTAAATATATGTATACCTATATATAGCTCTAAATGGTCCAGTTAGATTATAAAATGGATTTGTGACTATAAAATCACAAACCAAACCATGAATTGCTGCTTGTTTATTTTAAAAATTAAGTTCGAACCGTGCAGTAAGAAAATCAAACTAAATGAGCGATTTGGTTTGAATCGGATCAATTAAAAAAAAAAATTCATTTTTTTGCCGATCCCTAATTTTAATAATCATATATTTAAAAAAAATTACCCTTGACAATGTTACTCAAGTCTAAAATTAAAATAATAATAATAATTCTACTTTCTTGATCATCATTTTTCAAAAACACCTTTCAAAAAATTCTAATTTCTTATTTTTCATTTTTTTTTTGTTTTTACTGAATTTTTTTAATATTTTGAGCAATATTTTTAATTTTTATAAATATACTTAAAGTTTTGGGTTTTTTTTTTTTTTTTTTTGCAAACATAAAGAAAATATTTTAAATAAAAAAAATTATAAAATATTATTTACAGTGAAATATCAATGACATTTTTAAAATTATGAGAATAATAATCACCTTGCTTGTTTCCACTTTTCAAAAAACACCTTTCAGAAAATTCTACTTTCTTATTTTTTATTTTTTTTTTGTTTTTACTGATTTTTTTTTAATATTTTGAGCAATATTTTTAATTTTTATAAATATACTTAAAAGTAAAAAAAAATTGAAAAAAACCTTTTAAAAATTCACTAAATACCAAAAAAACAAAAAAAATACGAGAATTCAGTATATTTTTTTGTATTTTTATGTATTTATTAATTTTTAAAAATATTTTTTCACAATTTTTTTACTTTTTAGATACATCTAAGTAAGATGCATATAAAAAAGTAAAAAAAAAATTAAAATTTTAAAAATATTTACTAAAAACAAAAAAACACGCTCCAATCTAAAAACATTTTTTAATATTTTGAAAGGAAGCGTAATAAGGTCATTTACTATAGAAAGTGTAATACCGTTTGTTCCAATTTGACAGTAAAGGAGAATTTAGATAATGTCAGGTAAAGTAAGGGAGATTATTATAATTATTAAAATTACAGAAAAAGTCATTGTATTTATCAAAAATCTCAATGGAAGTCAGTATAATTTATCCTTTATTTATTTGTTTTTATCAAAAATGATTGACACACATAATTTATGACACATAAAAATCATTCTTAATGATAGGTGATAAGTATTAGATTCAGGCCTACTTTAGAAAAAATGTTATTTTAATAATTTTTTTGATTTTTTTATAAAAAGATATACAAAAATAAAGAGAATAATGTAATAGCACATAGTAACTTTTTAACTATGATAATGGGCAAATTTAGGAACTATCTAAAATAATCCAAAAAAAAAAAAATCACTATCGAAAAGTCAATTAACTTTTTTATGTTTTTACATATTTTTTTTATAAAAAATTTAAAAATAAACTAAAATAATTAATTCAAAAAACTAGTCTAACTCATATTTATAGGTTTTGTTTGGAAAAGACTAAAATAGTTTAATTGACACAAAAGGATAAAATAGATCAATTTAAGCAAAATGTCACATTTAAATTATAATCATTTTACGTTTTTTTCTCACAACTATCATATGAAAAAAAAAAATCAATTAAAACTAATTTAACTAAGCTAAATTTTAAAAAAAATCAAAAAAATTAAGTTAAATTAGCTCTTCCCAATAATTTTAAAAAAAAATCAAAAAAATAAAACCTTGTTTGGTTTGTTTTTGAAAAACAAAATTTGGATAAAATTTTCTAAAATTTTGTTTGGTTTAGTGATTTTAGAAAAAAATTTCTAAAATTATTTTTTGTCTAGTACACATCAATCAATCACTTTTTCTCTCTTCTCTCTCCTCTCTCCTCTCTTCTCTCTTATTCTCAATCACTTTTTCTCTCACATATATTTACTCAAGTACAACAAAATATTAAATCATTTTAAACTTTCATACTCTATCTCTCAAAACCAAATCAAACGCACCCCAAGTTAAGGCCTCGGTTGGGATCTCAAAAAAAAAAACTAAAAAGTTAAAAGTTATTTTAAAAGTTATCAATATTCACAAAAAAAAAATATATTAAAAAAATAATTTTATACAAAATTAATTTTCAAACAACTTGATACAACTCTGATGTGGGACAGGTGGAGCGGACTTTTTGGAAAATTGCATTTATTTAGGTGCACAAATAACTCGATATTGTTCGGTCCGTGGGGAGTCTATCACGGATTCCGTTTTAATAATATGAACCGCCTAATGTGTAGAAATCATCGAGTAAAATATGCCTGTAAAAAATCACGTTGATCAAATATCAATAACTATATGATCAAATCAGTTAAAATTTATAAAATAGATGGTATTATAATTAACAGTTGAAAACAAATAAATCCGATCAGATAGTTATCGATATTCAATAAATATGATTTTTTACAAGAAGATAGTACTCAATGATTTTTACACATTGAACGATTTTTATTAGCAAAACAAGACCCCTGATGAGCCTCCATGGACCGAACAACACCTCCAATTTAATGCCCAAAAATCAGAGAATCATCTCCCAACCTCCACTCTCCCCCGCTGTCCTTGGATTCAGCCCACCATACCGCCTATTCCGTTCAACCTTCTCCAAAATACTAATTTATACAATTTTTTAGTACATATATTTTTTATAAAAAATCAAAAATTATTTCAAATAACTATATGTTTTTTTTTCAATTTTTTAATTTAAAAAATCAAAAAATACACGTAGAACACTTGTAACCGACTCGTAATTATCTTTTTTTTATAAGACCTTTGTGTTTTTGATGAGGTGAGGGCAGTATGAGTGGGTTGTGGTGGCTGTAGGGCGTAGTAGTGGTTGACTCAGCGAGTGAATGGCGGAAGAGAAGGGCACAGTGTGCGTGACAGGGGCGGGAGGGTACGTAGCTTCTTGGTTGGTGAAGCTTCTTCTCTCTAATGGTTACTCCATCCATGGAACCGTCAGAGATCCTCGTAAGCCCCCCAATCTCTATGCCTATGCCTATCCCTCTCCTCAACTTTCATCGCCTCTCTAACCACTGTTATATCTCTTTCATACCAATCTCATCATCTATTCAACTCGTAGGATTACTGTGGCTCTCTCTCTCTCTCTCTAGTTGATGCTCTTTCTGTTTTAATTTAGAATAACATGTTTATGAACATATATTCCTTGATCTAAAAGATTTTCATATGGCTCTGTAAATCCTATTCAATTTATCTTGCAGATGATGAGAAAAATTCTCATTTGAAAAAACTTGAAAAAGCATCCGAGAAGCTTAAACTCTTCAAGGTGGACCTGCTGGATTACAACTCTCTTTCTGCAGCCATCACGGGGTGTGTCGGAGTGTTCCATGTCGCCAGTCCAGTTCCCCCCGGCAGCTTGCCAGATCCGGAGGCAAGAACACCTTGTGATTGATCTTGTTCATTGAAATCATTTGCATCCTTCTTGCCAATTTTATATCTATATTGACTTCTGAACCTATGTGGAGTGTTGCATATTGTCCTCATCTTGATATTAGGATGACCACGTAACACTGCTTCATAGTCCATACATTCAGCCTGCATCAGCCCATATGACTTCAATTCTACTGTAACTTGGATTCTTATGGCGGCGAGAATTTCTGGATATTGCATCTCTTTATCTAATGTGTTTAGCTATTGATTTTGCTACTGTTTTGGACTGAGCCAACTTATGAGAATAAGAGTCGTGAAAATATGATACCGGTCCGACCATGCTTGTGTTTTGTTCAATTCTTAATTCATCTCAACGAAACTTTTGTCCCAATTATTTGGGTTTGCCTACATGGGTTCATTTTTTGAGCAAGTAATCCTATGGTGACTTTTGGGTACCAAATTTTGAATACCACTTGTCGTGTCACCAACCCATTGGTTTAATGAGTCCCACCATTCATTGGTGACATAATAGATAATATCCAAATTGTTACCTGAAGTTGGTCTCCGTCTTTTCTTTCTCTTCATCTTATGTATCTTGTTCTCCATCCTTACAACTTAAGATAGAGAGCATTGTAAGCCTTCAATTTAATTTTAACCTCCTTAACTGCTTTAGATTTTCCTTTACCCATTTGTTTCTTGTAAAAAAAAAATTATTCATTCTCTTCCCAATCATTGTTATTGTTCCTATGTTCCAAGTTCCTAATTGTATTTTACACTCTTGGACTAGTTTCTTTATGTGCACTTGTCTATTAAAGTGTTAGCACCTTTCCCTACTTCTCACCATTTGGGGATCAATGTGGCATGTCACTTAGGGGAGTTGCTGGCATTTTGTACAGTTACTCTCATAAATTGGGTCCATGAAGTTGTTGAATGTATAACTGTGGGCTTCTTGATTGCTGTAAACCCCTGGTTGCATCTGTGATAGTAAAGTTAATCCACAGGTAAAGAAGTGCATCGCAGGATTGAAATGTGATGACATGTGTAATCATTGAATGTTTAACTTCAATGGGACTTTAATGTGTTATGAATTGGGTGAGTTATTTTACTTCCATAGTATCTAATAGCTTTAGTGCAGGTGCAACTAATTGAGCCTGCTGTGAAGGGTACTCTTAACGTACTCAAGGCATGTTCTGAAGCAAATGTCAAACGAGTGGTGGTTGTATCTTCTGGAGCTGCTGTTTCCTTGAACCCTGAATGGCCCAAGGGTCAAGTGAAGGATGAGACTTGTTGGTCTGATGCGGAATACTGCAAAAGAACTAATGTAATCAATTAAACAAGCCAACTTTAAACTTGTAATGATTATGTTGCGATTGTAGTGCATTTCTTCTTGATATTATTCAAAGCTTTTTAAAATTGTAGGTTCCATGCTAATGTTTTCTATATTTATATTGATTTTCTGGTTCTTTGTCCTAGAATTGGTATTGTCTTTCCAAAACAAAAGCAGAAAGTGAGGCTTTTGAGTATGCGAAAAGAAGTGGGCTTGATGTTGTAAGAATGTGTCCAACCCTTGTTTTGGGACCAATGCTCCAGTCTACAACAAATGCTAGTAGTTTGGTTCTCATTAAGCTTTCAAAAGGTACCTAATTGAATAAAACCTATATCATTTTATTTTCTCAGGTAGAAGTAGCATTTTTTATCCATGTAAATCTTATTTTCTTTTATTCTAAACGATGTGCTCATATGTGTTCCTATGCATGTTTATATGCTGCGGTGGAATGTTAACTTTTGAACTTTAATGCTTGAGAAGTTACTTTTGGTATTACATTCCATATGGGAAGCATTTTTGCTCTGCTTTATCCTTCTTGTTATGCTTTAAGCCTACAATCTAGGACTCCAATTTGTATTAAAAGGATAAATGTATATATATATATAATGCTCGAGTTTTGGTGATGTTAAGCCTTGAGGAATGGTGATGCTTGTTTTTCCAATCATTCTCATTATGATTGAACTTCTAGAAGGTGAGGCCAATTGAGCTCCAAAGTTCAGTCTTGCAATGCTTTGAGTGAACCCTTTCAAAAGCACTGAAGTCACCCTACAGAATTTAATTATGCTTTCCTATTAAAGTCATTACATAAGGATGAAATGGCCATATATGGAAGTATATGTGATGTAGGACGAGTATGGATTACTTTCCCACAAGTAATGAGTCCGGGTTAAGTATACTAGTAGCTGCAACAATAGACTTATAGGGTTAGATTTGGTAGGAGTTTGTGGCCGCAAAAGTATTTAAAAAAATTAGGAGTTTAAGGGTTTGTAAAAGGGTAGGGTTTTGTGCATGAAAATACAAGTGTTTAGGGATTGTTGGGTGGCTGTTCTAAGTACTCTGAACAGTGATGTGAACAGTAATCTTGTTGGATAGAAGGGAAGAGAGAGAGAGAGAGAGAGGTGCTTCACCCTCACAAGGGATAGGCCAATCACACAATCACAATCACAATCACAATCTCAAATTTTCATAATATTAACTATTTTTCCTCAATCATTAAGATTACCCATATATTTATAGGCTAAAGACTCTCCTAATTCTATAAGGACTATAACTCAAATTTAGAAATAAAAAATATTTAGTAACTACTAATATTCTAGATCAACTATGACTTCCAATTCTATTTCAATCATAATAGGAAACTTTAATGACTTTTAATTTTACTTCAATATCAAAATTGGAAATTTGGACTTTTGACCATTAGAATTATTTTAGACATAATAAAACTAGGGGTGAGCAACGGATATACTGATCCACCCAAACTGACCGAATTGAACCGAATTAATCCTCCGCATTTTGGACAGTTGCGGATTGATTTTTTCAATCCGCCTAATTTTGGACAGATGATGGATTTAAGGTTCCGTTGGCCGCAACCGAACCGCCAAACCACGAGCACCCCTACTAATTTATAAGGCTATGTTTTCTATTTGTTTAAATATTTTGTTTGTGTTTTCAATTGAAAAAAAGTTTAAATATTATGTTGAATATAGTCTGTTGAAAAAGAGTTTTCAACTTGAATATATTTTTTGAATTGAAAAAAATAAATGTATTATTTATCTATATTTTTTGATTTTTAAATCTAAATTTGAAAATAATAAATAAAAAAGATGATATATGCTGTTTGATTTTTATTTTTAAAAACAGATATAGATGTAACAATATAGAGGCATACAATCTCTACCATTGCTCTGTTCATGGTTTTGGTGGTTTAAATTGTTTTTATATTTTAAGAATCACAAATTGTAATACTTTATGTGTATGAGGCATGCTGTGATTCTAATATGTGGATGAGGTATGCAGTGATTTTAATACTTTTTTAAGTCATTGACGTAATATTTCTTTTCTTTTTTTTTAAGAAGTGCACAAGTTGAATTATGTTGAAAATTTATAAAATTTTAAACCGCCAAATCGATTCACATCCATCTGCCAATCCGCTCAATCCACATTTGTCGGATTAGTGGATCGATGCGGATTGATTTTCTCCAATCTGCCAATCTGGTGGACAGATGGTGAATTAGAAGTTCTATGGCCGCAACCGACCCGTACCCATCCCTAAATAAAACCCATATATAATAACCCATTTAATAACTTGATCCAAAAAAAAACCCATGGGCGACCCCTACAACTTATGCCCAACAATTATTAGAATTACTATTATACCCTTAATTACTAAAACTTACTATAATGACATGAAGATTTGAAATTATTCCAAATATTTAATTTTTGATGCCCTAAATGTGCTTCATGTGAAATTCCAAATTTGCTTCTTTTTTTTTTCTCCATGATTTTCATCATTCTCCCTTGCATTTGAAAAAACTCAACCTCGAGTTTTGTAATGTTGAAGTATGAGGATTGTGGAATCTTGCACTTGCAAACATTTAAATTGATTGTTTTGAATGAACGATAAGAAAATAAAAAAATTCAATGTTGTCATCACTCCATTGACCACATCAAATTTATTAGGTATAACAAACTCAATGTGAACTTCATTTTTCTTGTGAAGACCAGAAAGTTCAGTGGCATTCTTATTATTTTCTTTGGCTTTCTTGGCTTTAGATTCTTGATCAAGATGATCTTTCATGCTTTCTTTAGTAAACAAATTAATTTTCGCCTTCATTTCTTCAAGATCTTCAATTTTAGCAATATGTTCATCCTGCTCTTTTATAGTTTCTTCAAAATCTTCAACACTATCATCCTTTTGCTCTTAGATATTAATCTTCTCCAAAGCAGCAGCCACTAATATTTTCATGAAAGCTTTCAATCCATTCAAAGTTGTCTGGATAGTATGCACATCACTCTTTGTTGTTGCAAAATCCTCCTTAATTATCCCAAAATCCTCCTTTAACATCACAACATCTTTCTTAGTAGCTCTATAATTTCTTGACGAGGCTTTAAATTTCAAATTTAATTCAATGCTTGTCAACATTGTAATAAAGAAAGAAATTTCATCAAATGATTGGTAACGAACAAGATAGGATCTTGACACTTTGATACCAAATTAATGTAGGACGAGTATGGATTACTTTCCTACAAGTAGTGAGCCCGGGTTAACTATACTGGCAGCAACAATAATAGACTTATAGGGGTAGATTTGGTAAGAGTTTGTGGCTGCAAAAGTATTTGAAAATATAGGAGTTTAAGGGTTTGTAAAAGAGGTAGGGTTTTGGGAATGAAAACACAAGTGTTTAGAGTCTGTTGGGTGGTTGTTCTAAGCACTGTGATGTGAACAGTGATCTTGTTGGATAGAAGAAGAAGAAAAGAGAGAGAGAAAGGTCCTTCAACCTCACAACGAATATGCCAATCACACAAACACAATCTCAAATTTTCATAATATTAACTCTTTTTCCTCAATCATTGAGATTACACATACATTTATAGGCTAAAGACTCTCCTAATTCTATAAGGACTATAAATCAAATTTAGAAACTAAAAATATTTAACAACTACTAATATTCTAGATCTAGACCAGCTATGACTTCCAATTCTACTTCAATCATAGTAGGAAACTGTAATGATTTCTAATTCTATTTCAATATCAAAATAGAAAACTTGAACTTTTGACTACTAAAATTATTTTAGACATGATAAAACCCATATATAATGACCCATTTAATAATTTGACCCAAAATAAAACCCATGGGCGACCACTACAACCTATGTCCAACGATTGTTGGAATTACCATTATACCCTTAATTACTAAAACATACTATAATGATATGAAGACTTGAAATTATTCCAAATATTTAATTCTTGATGTCCTAAATGTGTTTCATGTAAAATTCCAGATTTGCTATTTTTTTTCTTTCCATGATCTTCATTAATATGCATATGAAATTACTTTTGATAACAGCATGTGGTCATATAATGTACAATTAGGTATGGATACATTTAAAAATCAATTTAGTAAGACGTGTAGCATATATGTTGTAATAATTTATGTAATTTATGTATTATTGATTTATTGATAGATTTGTATTGATGTTGTGTATTACAAATGGTGAGTGGCTCATTATATAGGAGATTATATAGGAGAGGGTGAGTGTAGTAGGTGAGGAGTAGGTGAGGAGTAGGTGGTGGTAGGTGATGGTAAATTCTAACATATGTATGGATAAAAGTACTTATGATGCATCTCTATGTAGACAAATATGCATATATAAATGTATAAATTTGTATATAGGCATAAAGGTATGTATAATACTTATGTGAGAACTTATAGGCATATAAGTGGTCATAAAAGCATGTATAAATAATAAATGTACATGTATTCGTACAGATAATCATACTCATTCATGTGTATAATTTGATGTGTACGGATGCACAAATAAATGTTGTGCAAACAAATGCTGCGTTTTTGCTTTCTTCAAAAAAGCAAAAATGTTAAAGCGATGGATGTGGGTTGATGTTGAAACAGCATGTCAACTTTGGTTGCACTTAAATGGAACACTTGAAGCTGGATATCAATCTTGTGGAACCAATCCCCCCACCCCTGAAAATACACGCACAGGAAAAAAGTAAAAGAAAGATGCAATAAAAAAATAAAATGGGAAGAGAAGGCACATGCAAATACTTAGCATTCCAACCTAGTGAGCTCCACAGCCAAATAAATTGAGGTAACTAACATTTTGTAGAAATTTTTATAGATGATTTGGATTTCCACAGATTCCCTGACAGCATTCAAGATGACGTCATGCAAATGAATTGCCAGCTGATAGAGATCATGTCTCCCTTTATTCCCGAGTATTTTGTAAAGTGATTTAATGCCTTGCTAATTTCCATAGACAAAATGCGTGTTAGTGAGAATAGGTTAGTGTCTCCAACTGATCAAGATTAAAGATCTTTAGAGATAATGCGAAGTGTGCTTCGATCCTATTTACATATGATATCTTGTATTAAGTCTAGGACACATGCTTTTCATGTCATAGTTTGACTAGAATAACTTATGCTTAGTCTTGTGGTCTTTATGATCGGAAACTATTCAAAACAAGATTAATTGGGCAAGCCCCAAGGGCACCAATTGAAGAGCGCTCGAGCGAGGTGCCCCCTGGGAGCTCTGCATAAGTCTAGAGCCCTAGGTTTAAAGAAATGTGGTGACATTTCAACTTCACAGAAGTCCATAGAGCTGCTCTTGATGCCCACTTGAAAGTGTGCTCGAGCAGGGTGCTGGGATTTCTTCATAACAGGAGCCCACAGAGGCTTGCTGAGAGCGCACTTGAAAGGCACTCAAGCAGTGCATAATTTTTCATAAGTTGTGCCATGACTTCATCAATACGTTGCTTATTACTAGTCATCTGGTATATAGTTTTTTCTTCATGAAAATGGTTTGTCAGTGAAGACTGTAGCACTTGATGTCATGACTTCTCCCAATCCTGTTATTTACAGAGGGATATGATGAATTCGAAAACAATTTGAGGATGATAGTAGATGTACGAGATGTAGCTGAAGCACTGCTATTGGCATATGAGAAGCCCGAAGCTGAAGGAAGGTATATATGCACAGCTTACATGATCAAGTCACAAGATCTGGTGGAAATACTCAGGAAAAACTACCCGAACTACAATTATCCTAAGAAGTAAGTTTCTGTCTCTCCATAATATATTCATCTAAAAGGATTTTCCTGCTGTACGAATTTCTTTTTCATTTTTTTAATTTTATATTATATAATAGATTAGGTATTAGCAGTTGAATTATAGCTATGGTCTATCACCAATAAGTGTAGCTGAATTATTACTATGGGTTACCTTTGTTGGGTTAAAATTTGCTGTTTCATTCAATTACACATTGCCAGATTTACTGAGGGAAAGGAAGAAGAAAAGCTCAGTTCAGAGAAATTGCAGAAGCTGGGTTGGAGTTACAGACCGATGGAAGAAACTCTGGTTGATTCCATTGAAAGCTGTAGACAAGCCGGACTTCTGTACTAAATGATCTTGGCATTCTGTTGTAGTATTTACAAGTTGTATCATCAAGCATTCTCATATCCAGAACCTCTTTGTTCTATAGATGTTGTATTGGGTATTGTTGTAAACGATCCTTGTTCATTTTGCAATAGCGTTGCAACTCATGACTCCAGTTAATTTGAAACATGGTTTTTGAACACTGCAATTAATGTTACACGATTACATGGAACTTTAGTTTTTGTGGAAATTGATACCGTGGACAGGATATGAGGATGTATGTTGTTTGTTGGTCACTTGTCTTGTCTTGTGACTGTTTGGATCATAGATATGGGTAGTAATTTTGAAAGAAAGTGAGAATTATGTATTTGGACAGGGATTATCCATAATCTAAACACAATTTTAGGGGCCGTAGTTTCTTTAGCTCCTTCTCTTGATTTGTTTTACACGTACCAGTTTAATCCAATCCGTTTAATGCTGTTTGTTAAATGGACGAGTTTAAATTAGATTGTTTTAATACATAATCCGTTTTGACCAATGGCAGGCCCTTCCATTTTTGACCTCTGTCACATCGTAATAAACGATTGGACAAGTCATGGCAGAAGCAAATATTACCTGGTGGGCTTGCCAGATCAGGGTTCATCCGCAACCATGAAAAGGTAAAGATTCACTATTATATATATATATATATGTATGTATGTATGTATGTATGTATGTATGTATGTATGTATTGTGGTCCCATGAAATGCATATGCAGGGCTCAGCAGCACCAGTAGTGTTAGCGTGGCACAGAACTTGTTGTATTGTATTTGGGACCCCCTTGCCCTGAGTGACCTTAAACCCTAGCCACTGCCTTCAAAATGGCTCAACTATTGTATATCCCATCAACACTCTCTGACTGTCACTCTTCCCTTATATATGACCATCAAATTTTGAATATCATTTAATGTGTTACTGATGTATTACATTTCATTCCAAATTTAGTCACTGTAGCATTATTGCATAACTAATGGTTAAAAATATCCCCACCCAAAAATGTTGCAGGAGCTTGGAATGTTAGTAGCAAGCCGAGTCATGTTTATTTATTTATTTTGGTACATCAAAGGCCATAACCTGAAGAGGGGGGAATGTGTTGCATCTAGACTCTGACCAACTAAGCTATAGTTTGTTTGGTTTCATAATTCAGGATTTATTTTTTAGAAAATTAATTATTATTATTATTTTTATTTTATTGTTTTTACTAAAAATTTTTAATATTGTAAACAATTTTTTTTTTTTAATTTTTAGATACACCTAACATAAATGCACTTATAAAATATAATATTTATAAAAGAAATCTTTAAAAAATTTACTAAATACCAAAAATATAAAAAAAATACGAAAATTTAGTACATTTTTTTTGTATTCTTATGTATTTATTGATTTTTTAAAATATTTTAGTTTTTTAGATACATCTGAGTAAAGTGCATCTAAAAAAATAAAAATAAAAATTTGTTTAAAATTTTAAAAATATTTATTAAAAATAAAAAGACACAAAAAATAAAAATTTTAATTTTAAAAAAAATTAAAACCAAAAAACGTGATTGTTTTTTTAGAACTCTCTTACCACTCCCCATCAGTCCACTTTTTGAAGCTTAATAAAATGGAGTTGAGAAGGGTAGGATCATTACTATAAACATAAATAGAAGAAATACATGGCCATCCTTTCCATGTAAGAAAACATTAATGATTCATGTCACAACCTCCATCATCCAATATTATTGTTGAGGGTGGTCCCTTTCTAGCTAGCTATAAAATAATGTTAGATTGTGTACTGTGTAAAATATAGTTTATATATATACAGTGATCAAGGAAAAGATTTTAGCATTATTTCCAATCAAACAATATGCATCTCACAGATTTAAGTTCGTAGTTTAATGTAATTTCAAAGCAACCCAACTGCAGTGACTTCCACCCAGAATCGCAAAACAATTTCAGTGAAAGTACATTTCTACTTATAGGTTGAGCTCCTCTCGGGTTGGAGCCATAGTCCTTCGTGTGCTCAATTTTGAATATTCATTTTGAATGATTTAAACGGTTCAATTTGTAAAATTTGTTAAAAAAAAATATTTATGTAAAAAATCAGATTAATTGAACATGAATCTGTTAAAAAATTAGATAGTCTATTCTCAATATCATACTTGTCATTTAAAGACAAATGCAATCCCATAATGTAGTTATTGACCTTTAATAAGCTTATTTTTATACATAAATTATCAAATCGACAGATCTTATAAAATAAACGAGGATTACCAAAGCGAATCTTAAAGTAGATTTAATACAACACCTCTTCAATTGAATTATCAACTAGAGAAAATGCATCTCCTATTCTATATGCTTGTGTTTATAAAAATTTCTCAGGTAGGCACACACACTTTTCTCTCTAATAGAAGAAGAAAAATGCTATTAACACACAATCAAACACATCAGTTACAATTTGCCAAAAGGAATTTATCTACGTGTGATAAAATTTAAATAATAATTAGAATGTTTGGTTTGAGTTTTTTGAATTAAATTCTTTGAAAATTGAGTTTTTTTATTTTTCGTATTTTTTTGTTTTTAGTGAATATTTTTTAAATTTTAAGTATTTTTTTTTTACTTTTTTAGATGCATCTTATTTAGATGTGTCTTAAAAGTGAAATATTTGCGAAAAAATATTTTTAAAAATTAATAAATACACAAAAAATATACTGAATTTTTTTATTTTTTTGTATTTTTGATATTTAGTGAATTTTTTTTTTAAAAAAAAAAATTTACAAAAAATATATTTTTTAAATGTATTTATGTTAGGTGTGTCTAAAAATTAAAAAAATTACTTAAAATATTAAAAAAATTCAGTAAAAATAAAAATAAAATATGAAAAATAAAAAATAAAATTTTCTGAAAAATATTTTAAAAAAATTCAAACCAAATAAAGTGATTTTTTTTTAAAAGAAGTATAAAATCCCAAAATTTACAAACATAATATAATTTGACAAAAGTAAAAACAGATGTTGACTAAGGTCAAGTTTGGCATACACAAAATAATCTATCTTTTTATCTTTTTTCCATCACATCACCTCTCTACTTTTCTGCATATCTTTTCGTAAAAAGATAAAAAATACACTTATTTAAGTCATCCCAAACAACCTCTAACTGTTGGAAAAAAATAAAAAGGGACCACTACACTAGCGTCTTGATAAAAAAACACATGTACATCCAAGATGTCAATTGTTTGTTCAGGATTAGTAATATTATAAATAATATTAATATACAAAACTATTTTTAAAATTTTAGTACTTTTTTAATATTATAATTATTTTTTTATTCTAAAAAATATAATTTTTACTTTTATTTAAAATTTCACTAATTTCCTCAATCAATTTCTAATCTCCACCCTCTTATGAATTTGTTAGTCTTACCATATAGGGGACTATTAGTCTAAGGAGATAATTAATCCCCTCACTTATATCCCCAATCAAATGCTTTTTAAATGAATTTCACAAATTATTAATCCAATCCAAAACAGCCAAACAAACATAGCCTAGTAAATAAATTGTGAGAGTAAAATTGTTGATAGGTAACATATTCCAGAAGAAATAAATATTATTAGTAAATGTT